GAGGGACACAGAGAGGAAGAGGGAGGGAGGGAGGGAGAGAGGGAGAGACACAGAGAGGAAGAGGGAGGGAAGGAGGGAGGGAGTGAGTGAGAGAGAGACACAGAGAGGAAGAGGGAGGGAGAGAGGGAGAGAGAGAAAAGGAGGGAGAGGGTAGGAGGGAGGGATGGATAGAGAGAGAGGGGGGTGAGGGAGGGAAAGATTTTCTCCTGTTTATCATCTCTAGGCTAGGCCAGCAAGAAATGCATGTTGATTCTGGATTTCCATTTGAATCATACATCATTTCTGGAAAATGAAGACATTTAACAATGGATTTGTCAGCCTCTGAAAGTCTGAGGAAAGATATTTTTACATTACCAGGTTTTTTAAAAAAAAATCTAGTTCCTCTGACACAGGTTGTTGACTAATAATCCATGTATCTACGCTTTAACACAGCAGCAAAAGGAAACCTTAGATTTGTCCTACCCCAAGATAATGTTTAATACCATTTATTCGGAATAAACTGAATTTACACAACATGATAAACAACTGAAGCTATGTACAACCTCTGAACCTGGCCACTGAGGACTGCAAACAACTGTATCTGGCTTAATGCAATGTGACTTAATGCAATGTGTGGCAACTATTCCAGCTTGTTCAATAAAGTATGATAAGACCACTGCATATATCTTAATATGATGCTTTTGTCAATAAATTATGCTGATTGGACATCAAACCACCATGTCTTCTTCAATAAATTATGATCACAAGAAACCATGAGGGCTGGTCTAAACCATTCCATATGTCTTAATGAAGTATTTCTTAAACTGTTTTTTCTCAGGGCCTCTTCCCACTTTTAACAATCCTGAAGGACCCCAAAGCAGATTTTGTTGGTATGGGTTATATTTATCAATATTTACCGAATTAAAAATTAAAACTGAATTTTAATATTGTATTATTTTTCAGCATAGACTGGCAAATAATTTTGATTTTGTGGGTTGCTGAAGGCACCTAGGGGAGACCTCCAGAGATTGTAGGATCACATTTTAAAAAACACCGTCTTAATGTTTTTGTTTTAAATGTTTTTCTCAAGCCATTGCTGATTAGTCAATACATTAAGTTGAGCACAAACTATAATGTAGAAATAAACATATGACTGAATAAACGTATGAATAAACATACTCATTAAGAAGCAATAATCCTCTTTCTGCATTTAAGATTCACTTGAACTTATCTACCCACCAGATGTTAAAATGTTTCATTCGAAACACTGGAATAGAATATCCTGGTTTTCGGGGGGGGGGAATGGCCAACAGTAGACATGTCATCATGTTTGATGGGGTGTCAGAATTTTTGTTTTGCATGATGCTGGATTACAGGTAGTCCTCACCTTACAACCACAACTGAGCCCAGAATTTCTGTTGCTAAGTGAGTCATTTGTTAAGTGAATCTTGTTCCATTTAACAACCATTCTTGCCACAGTTGTTCAGTGAATCACTGCAGATGTTAAGTTAGTAACATGGTTGTTAAGTGAATCTGGCTTCCCCACTAACTTCCCCATTGACAAAAGGTGATCTCATAACCCCTGGGACACTGCCACCATCATAAATATGAGTAAGTTAAAACGAGTGTCTGAATTTTGATCGTGTGATCATGGGGATGCTGCGATGGCTGCGTGAAAAATGGTCGTAAGTCATTTTTTTCAGTAACGTTGTAACTTTGAACGGTCACTAAATGAACTGTTGTAAGTTGAGGATTGCCTGTATTTGAGGAATAGCAAACAAGCACAGTTAGATGTCAATAGATCCCACGTACAGCAAAAGGACTTTTTAGGGGCTGCCACAAAGGGGGGGGGGTGAACCTTTTCTCCAAAGCACCAGAAGGCAAGACAAGAAACAATGGAGGGAAACTAATCAAGGAGAGAAGCAATCTGGAATTAAGGAGAAACTTCTTAACAGTGAGGACAATCAACCAGTGGAACAGCTTTGCCTTCAGAAGTTGTGGGTGCTCCATCACTGGAGGTTTTTAAGAAAAGACCGGACAACCATTTGTCCGGGATGGTATATAGCAGTGATGGCGAACCTTTTAGAGACCGAGTGCCCAAACTGCAACCCAAAACCCATTTATTTATTGCAAAGTGCCAGGGACGCATCAGCATTGTGGTGCCCTCGGGGGGGGGGGCAGGAAGGCGCCTCTGAGTGCCGCCTCTGGCACGCAAAAACGGGGGGCACAAAAATGGGCCACCGTGCTGCAAGGTGCACAAATGGCTACCGCTGCGCCGTGGGGTGCAGATACAAGGCGCTGCACCACGTAAGAACGGGGCAGGGCTAGTGAGTATCAAGCAGGCACTAGCCCCACCCCATTTGCAGCAGGTGCTTGCTCGTGGCCCCGTGCGTGCATGCACGCATGTAAAATGCTTCCCTCTCCATTTTCTTCCAGTCCACCAATCGACAATGGCTGGTGACCTCTGCTCTACCACCTCTACTAGAGCTTGCTAGTCGGCCGCTTCGCCTCCTTTGTGCTGGGCGGGGCTTCTGCTCTTGGCAGCGGTGGCGGCCTGATGGACCTGCTGCTGGTGGCAGTGGAGTGAGTGCCAACAGAGAGGGCTCTGAGTGCCGCCTCTGGCATGCGTGCCATAGGTTCGCCACCACTGGTATATAGGGTCTCCTGCTTGAGCAGGGGGCTGAATCCGAGGTCCCTTCCAGCTCTATTCTGATTGATAGTTTTATGTTAACAGAGTATAAGTCATCTTTGAATCCTGTTTTCTGCCCTCAGTCAAAGGCAACTACTCTGGCTTCACACGCACAGTCACAAAGTTACAACTCTGGGGAGGAGTTGCAGCCATAATAGAGAAATGAAAAATAGAATTAATAAATTCGATCAACAGATTCTTTCCCAATGTAGCCTCCTCCAGCCATGTTTTCAACCTAACTAACCTAGCTCTTTCTACGAATACATTACAACCCTGAGCAATTCAACCCTGTGTAGTAACCTTCGAATGGGTGTGATGAAAGCCATGCTCAGTTAAAAAAAAAAATTTTTTTTTGTTGTTTTCTTTTCTTGCACGTTAGCCCATTCCTTGTCAATGCAGAGCAGGGGAAGTCGGCTGAGGAATTCTGGGAGTTGAAGTCCACACATCTTCACACGGCCAAGGTTGAGAAACACAGGGCTAGCCCAACGTTGTAGGATTTCAAGTGGTTTCCCTCCCCGGTTCTTTGCCAAGTCCAACCTCGCTTAGCTTTTTGTGACATTGCGGAGGTCTCGATTGCCCCAGACTGCACGTTTGCAACACTGCACTTCCCCGTAACCGTTGCAACCCCTGTTGTTGCAACGCCTGCAGCTACAACGTACCCGCGGTTTCCCGGCCAAAAGAGCTTCCCCTTCCTCTGGTCAAAGCAAAACAATAACAACAATCCAGATTGAGAATAATAATAATGGATTACATTTCCAGGGATTGGGGTGGGTGGGGGGAGAGAGAGAGAGGGAGGCACCCTCCCGCTTTTGCAGTTTCCTCCCCCTTTTGCAGGAAGTGACACACGTTCGCAACCGGGTCAGCTGGGACTCCGCTTTCCTCGCCCACCCCTCGCAACTTCGCAAAGCCTGGGCGCTCAGGCGGGCGCATGGGATTCCTGCAATGGGAAGGTGGAGGCTGTTGTGGCGGTCTTGGGGCTGCAGCAAGAGCACTCTCTCGGCACCTACGGTCAGTAAAACGCTCTCCCTTCCGCCGCCCCTTCTCTTTGTTTTTGTTTTTTTTGCAAAACGCCGAAGTGTGCACAAAGTTAAGGCGGGGTTGTTTTGCAACAATTGCCACCATGCACGGCCAGCTCCCAAGCCCGCGGACGTGCAGAAGGCAATGCTTGCCAATGGAGGCGGAGAGGTGTGGACCCTACGATCGGGGGGGTGGGGGGGAAGAGGAGAGGGGTGTGTGTGAAAGGGTTTAAAGGGGAACAGGGAGTTGCGTGCAAACCGTCCTGTAAAGCGATCCCGTGCAAACGCAGAGCCAGGATCGCGTGCAGGTGGTTTTCGCGTGCGGCGAAGCCAGCCCCGTTTCGCTTTGCTAAAGCGCGAACCAACGAGGATCCAGATGGCCAGGACGCTGGCTTTGTCCATGGCATGGGGAAAGAGAAGTGCTTCCTCTCTCCCCCCCCCCAACTTCATGGAGGTGATGGTAGCTCCCGTTTTATAAACTTTTTATAAAATTAAGCGCGTTTAATGCCAGAAACGTCCTCCGATTCCAAGAGAGGATCCTTGGATTTCGCCGCGAAGTTTTTATATTCTCGCTTTTTCCGCAGTGTGGATTATTTATACCTAGAATGATACACATCGCCTTGGCCTGCTGTATTCAACCGTGGGTTTAGTTATCTTTCGGGAAGCAAATAAAACCCGTTTAAATACAGGTTTGCTGCTGGAGATCACTCTAGAAGAGATCTGCTGAAAAACGAATGAGGGGGGGAGGGTATAAGAGTCAGAAAAATCAGCATAAAACCACCACGGATTGGTAAAAGATTTGTTAGCTTTCCTTAATAGAGATGCCTCTTTCTGTTCTTTCGACATTCACCATCAGCCTTTAGCTCTTGTGCATTCCAATTTTCCACTTATAAGGAAACCACATCTAGCTAAATAAGCAATGATACCCTCTCGGTTTGTGTGTGGGATGTGGACAGGTGACAAGAGACTAGGTTTTGGTGGGTAGATGGGACGGAGAAGGCTACTTCTCTGAAGTCTTTGAAATTCTAGTTTCTCGTCGTTGAGAATGGGGAAGTGTACAACTTTAATAGATACAATATATGTAAGATATAGTAATTTATCTCCTATATCTAAGAGATAATCTCTCGGTCTTTGTGTGCAAACAATTTAAGGATCTTTCCCCCACATTAAGAAAAGGAAAACATATAATAACCGTCAAAGTTTTAGTGAAGGATTGTTGAATTCGTAGACTAATCTCATGGTTGTGCTAAGCCATGGTTTTAACCATGATTTATTACACTTTATTGAGTCCAAACCATTATTATGCTAAGCCATTAGCCACCCATTAATGAGAAATTCTCTCACTAAACCAGAGGAGCCAAATTCTAGTTTTAAAAAAGTTTATTGAGGAAATACAGGAACAAGGAAAAGGGTGGTTATAGAAAACTCCCAATAAAATCAATACAATCTGTTTAAATAAACAATTTTTTTTTTACCTCCTTGAGTAAGATGTTGGATTCCAATACATGTTGGAGGTTCATTGATCAGAATAAAGTTTGAGGGATGTCATCAGAGCCTTCTGCTTGGATGTTGACAGGCAGGGACGTGTTCTTCCCTGGAGTGCTTCTCTGTTTTACATAAAGTGGAAGGTAGATCAGAGCCAACCTCTCTGGGCAGAGTGACTTTTATTTTGTCCAATCAAAGCCAGTCCTTTTTGTCTGATGTCTTAAATCTAGCTAGCAAATCAGAAATTACCTAATGGCTAGACCCACCTTCATAGCAAGGTAGAATATAAAGACTATATAGTTTAGTGTTTAGCAGTTGTGTTATGTCAATAGAAATTTCATTTGAGCAAACAAAGTCTGGATCCCGTTTATTTGCACCTCACAGCGCATGACTAATTTATTAGATGCATATTGGGCAGTTAAGATAGCATAGTATCTATGCCTAAAGAGTTTAAACAGTTGCATGTGAAAAATTACAAATGTTTCCCTTACTCCCTGCCATTATTTTTTTCAAAGCTTTTGTGACTTTTCTTCCATCATTATCCTGGGAAATTCTAGTTAGGATACAGATGTTCATGAGGAGATACATCTCCAAACACTAGATCCGTGGTGGCGAACCTATGGCACGGGTGCCATAGGCGGCACGCGGAGCCGTCCCTGTGGGCACGCGCGCCATCGCCCCAGAGGGAGGCAGGGCCAGGCTGCTCCCCTCCGCCTCTCCACATGTGCCTGCACTTTTGCTCTCTCTTAGCTGGGGGGCGCGCGAAATCGCTCTGGGGGCATAGAGCCGGGCGGCAGAGGCCACACCCACCCAGCGGGCCACACCCACCTGGCAATACATAAGTGGGTTTCGGGTTGCAGTTTGGGCACTTTGTCTCTAAAAGGTTTGCCACCACTGCACTAGATCAACCTTGAATCCTGTCCATTTCATCAAGATGGCTGCATCATGGGCCTTATTTAATTATACCTCTTTCTCCAAGCCCGTTTTATACCCTGCCCTTCAGTGGTAGCTCAGAGCAAGGTAGATGGTGCAATCATTGAGGAGAGCAACAAAGATGATCAGGGGACTGGAGGCTAAAATATATGAAGAACGGAATTGGGTATGTCTACTTTAATGAAGAGAAGGACTAGGGGTGACATGATAGCAGTCTTCCAATGCCACAAAGAAGAGGGGGGTCAATCTATTCTTCAGAGCACCTGAAGATAGGAGAAAAAGCAATGGATGGAAAATAATCAAGGAGAGAAGCAACCTAGAACTAAGGAGAAACTTCCTGACAGTTAGAACAATTAATCAGTGGAACGACTTCCCTCCCGAAGTTGTGAATGCTCCAACACTGGAAGTTTTTAAGAAGAGATTCGACAACCATTTGTCTGAAATGGTATAGAGCAGTGATGGCGAACCTTTTAGAAACGAGCGCCCAAAAACTGGCCCCACCCACGCTCCATCCCCCTGCCCCGCCCTTACCCCGCCTGCCCACAGGGCCACTCACCACCTCCAGGGCCCGCTCAGATCGCCCAGGCAGCCCAGCAGCGCCATTGTGGCCACGCCCTCTGCCCGTGCCCCGCAGGATCAACTGTGCGATGGGGTGTGAGGGCAGTCTTGTCTACGCTGCCTGGCTGCCATGTCTTTGGCTGCACTGCTCCGTGTGGGCCACGCTTGGGGGCAACTTTCCTCCAGGGTGGCTGCTGGTGAGGAGGGGGCCACGGGGGAAGGCAATGCTGGGGCAACGGCATGTGTGCCCACAGAGTGTGCCCACGCGTGCCATAGGTTCGCCACCACTGGTATAGAGTTTCCTGCCTGAGCAGAGGGTTGAACTAGAAGATCTCCAAGGTCCCTTCCATCTATTCTATTTCTATTTCTATTCTATTCTATTCAAAAAGGCACAAGACAAGGATGTCCACTACTATTCTATTCTATTCTATTCTATTCTATTCTATTCTATTCTATTCTATTCTATTCTATTCTATTCTATTCTATTCTGTTTCTATTCTATTCTTTTCTATTTCTATTCTATTCTTTTCTATTTCTATTCTATTCCTATTTCTATTTCTATTTCTATTTCTATTCTATTCAAAAAGGCACATGACAAGGATGTCCACTATCCCCACTGCTATTTATCTTAACTTCGGAAGTTTTAAATAGAAACATTAGGCAAGATCCAGAAATTAAAGGATTGAAAATAAAAGGTGAAACCTATAAATTGCAAGCATTTGTAGATGATTGGGTATTCATTGAGGAACCTTTAGAGACGATTCCCAAACTGTTGGAAAAGATAGAACAATTTGGAGAGATAGCAGGACTAAAGATAAGTAGAGAAAAAAACCCAAAGTGATAGTTAAAAATCTTACGGATAAACAAAAAAAAAGCAACTGTCAGAAAAAATAGAATTGCAAATAGTCAAAAAGGTCAAATACTTGGGAATATATCTGACAGCAAGATGTTCGACAATAAAAGAAGATAACTATATTAAATTGTTAAATCAAATAAAGCTTGATTTGGAAAAATGGAATCCCATCCCATTCCTAAAGCAGGGCTCCAGTTATCTCTGGTCAATGGTGAGGGGTATGAGAGTTGTAGACAGAAAATATCTGGAAGGGACCAGAGGGAGAGAGCATAGAGAACGACCTTGAAGGACAGAAGCACTGAGCAGCTAAGCTCATCTAATGTCAGATAAGAAGGGCCGGAGCCCAAGAATGTAAGGTGAGTAAAACATTTCAGCGAAGCTCCTCCCAGGTTCACATGAAGATAAAGTGAGGGACGTGGAAGCAGATTGAGAGTTGGAAGATTCTGTTACTAAAGCTATTATAATAACTGTATTCTGATCTACATGGCTATAGGACAGTGTTTCTCAACCTTGACAATTTTAAGGCATGTGGACTTCAACTCCCAGAATTCCACAGCCAGCATTGCTGGCTGTGGAATTCTGGGAGTTGAAGTCCACATGCCTTAAAATTGTCAAGGTTGAGAAACACTGCTATAGGACCATGGTGGCAAAGCTATGGCACGGGTGCCAGAGGCGGCACTCAGAGCCCTCTCTTAGGGCATGCGCGCCGTCGCCCCAGTCCTAGGCCTTCAGCTGGGTTTTATAAAACCTTTTCGCTTTAGGCCTCTGCCACTGTGTGCAAAAAAAAAAAAAGATTCAATCAATCAATCAATTTCAACTTCGCGCAGGAAAAAAAAAGATCTCGCAAAGTTGGAATTGATTGAACTTTTTAGTTCCCACCCAGTCTGCTATTACCACCGCAGCCGCGCCTACCCAATGGGCCACAGCCACCCAATGGGCCATGCCCACCCAATGGGCCACACCCATCCAATAGGTCACGCCCACCCGGCACCGACGATATATAAGTGGGTTTTGGGTTGCAGTTTGGCCACTCGGTCTCTAAAAGGTTCGCCATCACTGCTATACGAGATGACCAACCTGAGCCCAATGGTGGGTTCAAATACACCATCAGTTTGGTGTCTCTATGCCCCTGTAAGAGACCTAAGTCCAGCCCCTCCCCCTTTGAAGTCCATTGACTCTTATCTGGTGCCAATTTGCCTTGTCCATTAGTAGTTCAGAATCTTGAGTATTGGTAGAATGGAATAAACGTGTTGCATTTTTGAACTCTACTTTGGTTCCTGACTTCTCGCACCTGAGAATGGCACCAGTTTCTTAATCTGGTCTACCTGGTTGGGCTGACACTAGGTTGCCTGCACACATGGGTGCAAGATAGTCTATACAGGTAGTCCTTGACTTATGACCATAACCGAGCCTGCAATTTTTGGTCATAAGTTGTGATGATCACTGAGCAGATCACCGCATGACCGTTTTAACAACCTTTCGTGTGGCAATTGTTTTGGCGACAATTTTGCAACCTTTTTTTTTGTGTGTGTGGCACTCATTCAGTGAACGCCACGGTCGTTAAGCAAATCCATTATTTGCGACATGCCAGAAGACATAAAACACCAGTTTCCAGCAAAAAAATAAAATAAAATGAGGTCACATGACTGCAGGACATTGCAAACAGCAGGAAAGGTGGGCCAGTAGCCCATCATTTGAATTTTGGTGACTATGGGTATGCTGCGATGGTCATAAGTATGAAATAGGATTGTAAGTCATTTTTTTTTTAAAAAAATCAAAGAGTCACTAAAGGAATGGTTGTAAGTCAAGGACTATTTGTATTGAGTTTTGTGGGTATGGATCGATGGGTTATTACAGAGGTGGTGAACTTACGGCACGCGTGCCACAGGTGGCACTCAGAGCCCTTTCTGTGGGCACGTGCGCCGTCACCCCAGCCCTGCTTCCCCCCGCGGCCCTCTCCTCACCAGCAGCCCCCCCGGAGGAGAGTTGCCCCCGAGCGTGGCCCGCATGGAGCAGCACAGCCAATGACGTGGCAGCCAGGCAGCGGGGGCAAGACTCCGCCCTTGCGCCCCATCACGCGCAGTTGATGCCGCGGGGTGCAGGCAGAGGGCATGGCCACCATGGCGCTGCTGGGCTGCCTGGGCGATATGCGGCGGACCGTGGAGGCGGTGAATGGCCCTGCGGGTGGGCCGGGCAGGGGTGGAGCGGGCAGGACGGAGGCGGAGCGGGGGGCGGGACAGGGCGGGGCTGGATTTTGGGCACTCAGTCTCTAAAAGGTTCGCCATCACTGGGTTATTAGGAGAACCCAGCTCCAAGAAAGAGTGTTGCTTAAGCAAATATGCCAAGTTTTGTCTTGCCTCCTTTTGACTTTCCAGGTACTCCACTACCGGAATGCCTCCTCCCTTGCCCTCCCCCGCCAACCTGTGCCATCGCTGGCTCAAACCATGAGCCAATACCTGCACTCTCTGGAGCCCCTGGTGAACCCCAAGGACCTGGAACAGACACGGCAGCTGGTGGCAGCCTTTGAGGCCCCAGGCGGAGAAGGCGAGAGGCTCCAGGTGCGGCTGAAATGCAGAGCGGCCCGCATGGAGAACTGGGTAAGGAAGGGGACTCTAGAGGGCAGTGGGAAAACTATGGCGCCCTAGGGGCGCAATGGGCAGAATGCAGTATTACAGGCCAACTTTGCCCACAGTCTGGAGTTCGATCCTGGCCGAGCTCAAGGCTTGACTCAGCCTTCCATCCTTCCGAGGTTGGTAAAATGAGGACCCAGATTGTTGGGGGAGGTAACATGCTGACATTGTAAACTGCCCAGAGAGTGTTATAAATCACTTTAGGGGCAGTATAAAAATCTTATTGCTATTGCTGTGTTTCTAGGGATTCCTATCCAATGCTTGTTCCTATGGCACTATCGGAAGGTTGCAAATTCTGATTCCTGGAGAGTAATTGAATGGTGGTGGTCCAACGTCTGCTCCCATTTTGCTTTCCTGAGAATGTCTCCTTTTTCCCACTTGGTACCCACCGGATGTATTGCAACTAGCCCCCCTCCCCCCAAATTCTACAACCTGTGAACTAAATGTTCCCAAAGGAGCCACAAATGCTAAATCAAGAAAAAAGTCCAAACTTGCAGTTCTGAAACCCACAAATAATTCTGGGTTTATGTTGGTTGCTTTGTTTCTTGTTAAGCCTTCACTTAAAAATTAATGCTTCTGTCTCTCCAGTAATGTCACCATGTCATCAAAATAGCTTTGCGGCCTTGATGCCCTGATTGGTGTTTTTTTTTTAAAAAGTGCAATTCTTTATCTCCAAAAAAGTGTCCTCTCCATGCAAAAATCTTAAGGATTTCAGCATTCATACTAATGGGAAAAGTGGTGAGGGAACTACTGGGCACTACTACCCCTAGTTGTTTATTTGATGGTATGGGAACTAAAGAGCTCTATAGCTGTCTTGTCACAGAAATGAATCACCAAGTGGATGCCGAGTTCATAATGATCAATATAGGGTCTACTTATGAGCATTCGCTGGGGGCAAGAGGAGGACAGATAAAATGGATGTGACAGTGTCATTGTGCAAAGTTACAACTCACATACTTGCACCAGATGTTGGACCTCAGGTACACAGTGGCAGTGTTTGCACAATGATTTACTGCATGTGCATCACAATCTAGGAATCATCGTAGTTTGCAGTAGATTCTGTTGGGTCTTCTTACAGTAGCTGGTGAGCTCCAGATGTATTGGATCAATTTCTGCACATCTGGGGGACACTTAAGCAGGGGAAGGCTGTCATAGGTTGAGACTCTAGAAAGAGTACAGAGAAGAGCAACAATTCAATTCAATTCAATTCAAATTTAATTTATATACCGCCCTTCTCCCATAGGACTCAGGGCGGTTCACAGCATATTTAAAAAACAGATACTATACACAAATACAAAAAATACAAAAATACAACAATATAAACCCCAATAAAAACCGAATTAAAAACCAAATATTGACGGCTGTCAAAGATGATTAGGGGACTGGAGGCTAAAGCATATAAGGAACGGTTGCTGGAATTGGGTATGTCTAGTTTAATGAAGAGAAGGACGAGGGGGGACATGATAGCAGTGTTCCAATATCTCAGGGGCTGCCACAAAGAAGAGGGAGTCAAGCTATTCTCCAAAGTGCCTGAAGGCAGGACAAGAAGCAACAGATGGAAACTAACCAAAGAGAGAAGCAACCTAGAACTAAGGAGAAACTTCCTGACAGTTAGAACAATTAACCAGTGGAACAACCTGCCTCCAGAAGTGGTGAATGCTCCAACACTGGAAGTTTTTAAGAAGAGACTGGACACCATTTGTCTGAAATGGTATAGGGTTTCCTGCCTGAGCAGGGGGTTGGACTAGATGACCTCCAAGGTCCCTTCCAACTTTATTATTATTATTATTGTTATTGTTATTGTTAATCAATTTACTACTAAAACTCTTGTGTCTGTTTGATTGTTTGTAACCTTCAATTGTGCATAATGGTGTATCACAGGGCAACAACTTTTGAATCCAAACACCTCAAATGGGCTAACTTACAAAATGCACTCAAAATCCAGGACCCATGACTCCCTTGAGTCATAAGTCCTGGATTTTGGGTGCATTTTGTAAGTTACGGACTAGGGATTGAACTTTGGCAAAGTTGTGGCTGCCTCAGTGCTGCCACTTTGTCCCACCACCATAGTAAGCTGCAGTCATGCGATTGTCATTTTCAGTGCTCCCTGCCAAATTCCCACAATGGGGAAGCCAGCAGGAAGTCCAAAGTTTATTTATTAAATTTATATGCCACCCATCTCTCTGTTGAACCTCTCTGGGTGGCTTGCAATATCATAAAACAGCAATATAAAACCATTAAAACATTAAAAATGTTGAATTTTAAAAGCTGCTCCTATTCCCACCGCTTTTTTGTCTAGCTGTGGTCATTCTGTTTCTCTGTTTAAGTAAGAAAATATCTCTGAAACAATGACCCAGCGGGTCACGGGTTGTCTAGTTTGAATTAGACAATTGAACTTCTAAACCCTTCCAAGTATGCAAACAAGCAAACATGATAGTCTTATTAGACTTTGTCTTCAGTGTTCACCACACAGTGTTCTTTTCATTGTTATTTTAATGACCCTTGCGACAGTGGGGAGCTGATAATTAATAGTTTGGAGGACGATGTTAAAGCTGTCTCTGTTTAGGTCCACTGAAGGTAGACTTTCAGGGAGAAAGTAGAATGTTCAATCCACGCTTGACCGACTTTATGAATTATCCCGGCTGGATGTGGCACAAATGCAAAAAATCAGCTGATGCAATTTATATAACTTCTTTTTGGTGCTGTATAAAATTGATTTTTTTACTCTAAACATGGCAAGTTTCCCACCCCCTCTCTTGGAATTTACAAATATAAATTCCTTGGAGCAGAAAGAGTTTTTTGCAGAGTTTTTACTCTGCAAAAAACAGCTCTATGTATTGCTTGAAAAGTTTTCATACATTTTAAATTTCTTGTTGCTCTGTATACTTTTTGCTTTTTTTAATTTACTAACAACATTTATTGGCTGCCCCCATCTGGCCAGTTAAGGGCAGTGTACATCAGCAAACCAATACAGAATATTTCAGTAATTATACAGAGCTAAAAACTCATTCACAAAACAATAAACAAGCACAAATGAGATGAGCTGCTCTAATCAGTCTAAAATAAGTCCTCTTTAAGGGCCATCCTGAGCACAAAGAAGCACAAGGAATCATTCCTTAATGATGTGGATGCCACATGTAAGCCCACCTCTTGTCTTTTTATGGAAAAGCACTGATATCAGAAATGAATTTTCCTTCATTAGGGCCAGAAGGGCAAAATCCTATTGGATAAGTCAGTCCCTAGTACGTCTTTATGCATAGTATTCTGGTCTGTTAAAAAAAAAAATTGCATCAAAGGCCTGGAGACTAAATCTTATGAAGAACGGCTGTAGGACTTGGGTTTGGCTAGTCTAAAGAAAAAAAGAAACCGGGGGGGGGGGGGGGCGACATGATAGCAATATTCCAGTATTTGAGGGGCTGCCATAAAGAAGAGGGCGTCAAACTATTCTCCAAAGCACCAGAGGGCAGGACAAAGAAGCAACGGATGGAAACTAACCAAAGAGAGAAGCAATCTGGAATTAAGGAGAAAATTCCTAACAATGAGGACAATTAACCAGTGGAACAGCTTGCCTCCAGAAATCATGGGCGCTCCATCACTGTAGGTTTTTAAGAAGGGACTAGACAGTCACTTGTCTGAAATGGTTCTCCTGCTTGAGCAGGGGGCTGGACTAGAAGACCTCCAAGGTTCCTTCCATATTCTATTCTATTCTATTCTATTCTATTCTATTCTTATAAGTAGTAGTAGTGAATTTCCCTGTGACTTACAGAAATGCTTATAAGACTTATAGTCTGCCCAATTCCAGAGGCCCTAGGCATTTTTTTGGTAGCTTCATATATTTTTAGAAGCAAAGTACAGCTAGTCCTTGACTTAGGACCACAATTGAGCCCAAAATTTATGTTGCTAAGTGAGAAATTTGTTGAGTGAGTTTTGTCCCATTTTACGACTTCTCGCCACGTTTGTTAAATGAATCACTGCAGTTCTTAAATCAGTAACTTGGTCGTTAAGTGAATCTGGCTTCCCCATTGACTTTGCTTGTCAGAAGGTCGCAAAATGTGATCACATGACCCCGGGACACTGCAACCGTCATAAATATGAATCAGTTGCCAAGTGTCAGAATTTTGATCACGTGACCGTGGGGATGCTGCAATGGTCATGTGAAAATCAGGGCTGTGGAGTCGGAGTCGGAGNGGGCCGGGGCAGGACAGTTTTGGGGTACTCGGTCTCTAAAAGGTTCGCCATCACTGCAATAGACCCTTCTCATCCATCAATTCTGACGATTGATGGATGACACATATTCTAACCTTACCTAATTCATCCTAGGTCAGAGATTGGTGGATTCAGACAGCCTATTTGGAGAATCACCTTCCCCTGGTTGTTCACTCAAGCCCAGCTGTTGTCCTACCCAAGCAGGATTTCAGTGACTGGAGAGGACAATTGAGGTAAGACATCCGGGTGAGATTTAAAAAAATGACTTCTTGGGTCAAGGAGTGGAAGTGTCATAGTTGTTGAGAGAGGAATCTGGGAAGAAAAGGGAATGATGAAGACAGTGATTGAATTGATACGTGGGGTTCAATCATGGTTTAACCAACATTTTTTAGAATAAACCATAATTTGCTAAATTTCATTTAACATGCTGAACATAAACCATGATTTACATATCACAGTGCCTGGGCTTTCAGAATATGTTAGCCCACAAACAAAATATGTGATATTTTAGTATGTATTAACCTAGTTTTAAGATTTCCAGAACTACCTTATTTTATGGCCGGGTCTCTGTTGTGTAACATGGCTAGGATTTAGCTTAACCAAATGAGATAGTCAGGTATCCAAATAATGGTTGATGGTTGAACATGTTGCGAAAACTTAACCAGCTGTGGCTCCTATCACTCCATTTGCAGTATCTTAACATCTCAAGATAAGGTTGCGAATTGAGCTTTTTTTTTTTTTTTTTAAGAAAGTGTGGGATGGTTTCAAGAATACAGATGGGAGCTACCTGCTCTGTGTCATCACTAAAATGAAAAGTGATCAAAGAAAGGACTGAGGAAAACATTCATAACTCCCCCCCCCCCGGAACATCAAGGCATCTGCTGAGGTCTTCAAAGGATGGGGTTGAATTGTAGGCCCTAATCCAGTGATGGCGAACCTTTTGGAGACCGAGTGCCCAAAAACTGGTCCCGCCCCTGCCCCGTCCCTGCTGCACCCCACCCTGCCTGCCCACAGGGCCACTCGCCGCCTCCAGGGCCCGCCGCAGATCGCCCAGGCAGCCCAGCAGCGCCATGGCAGCCAGGCCCTCTGCCCGTGCCCCGCAGCATCAACTGTGCGTGTTGGGGCATGAGGGTAGAGTCTTGTCTACGCTGCCTGGCTGCCATGTCCTTGGCTGCGCTGCTCCACGTGGGCCACACTCGGGGGCGACTCTCCTCCAGGGGGGCTGCTGGTGAGGAGGGGGTCGTGGGCGGAGGCAAGGCTGGGGCAACGGCACGTGTGCCCACAGAGAGAGCTCCAAGTGCCGCCTCTGGCACCCGTGCCATCGGTTCGCCACCACTGCCCTAATCCATAAAACTGAGGTCCTCATTATTGTGCAGCGCCCAAAATTTATGTTGCTAAGTGAGACATTTGCTAAGCAAATTTTGCACCGTTTTTCAACTTTTCTTGCCACAGTTGTTAAAGTGAATCCCTCCTTTGAGGGCCTCAGAGGGTAGTAACACGGTTGTTAAGTGAATCTGGCTTCCCCATTGACTTTCCTTGTTCAGAAGGTCGCAGAAGGGGATCACCTGACCCCGAGACGCTGCAACGGTAATAAATATGAGTCAGTTGCCAAGCATCTGACTTTTGATCACGGGACCATGGGGATGCTGCAACGGTCGTAAGTGTGGAAAACAGTCATAAGTCAGTTTTTTCAGTGATGTTGTAACTTTGAAGGGTCACTAAATGAACTGTTGTAAGTCTTGGACTATCTGTACTCCAGCCTAGAAGCTGAACCAGCACCGGCAAAATACCGGCAGGAATCATAACACCGACAATAGGTCTGTAGTGTGTGCTAAACACAAATGCTTTGAAGCTAGGAGCATTGTTTGAAGAACTCTTTATCCCAAGATACACATCGAGCTGAGTCTGGTGTAAAATGAAGTGTAATTAAAATTTGTGTGGGTGGCCAGTCAAACAGAGATCAGCGTCACATAAATACACCTGTGGCTGGCAGCCACTGGAAAGGGGTGTGACCTAATGAGTATCCTTAACTAGATTGCATGAGAGGAACAAGTGTGGGGGTATAGCTCAGCGGTAGAGCATTTGACTGCAGATCAAGAGGTCCCTGGTTCAAGTCCGGGTGCCCCCTTATTTTAGGGGGGGAAACGGAGTGTTTTGTCTTCTGTGTCACCAGAATGAGTGGAAAATAAATATTGAGGCAGTTTCCCAAGACTAAGGTCTTAATTTGACATCCTTAGTTATTGGGGTTAGATGGTGGTTGGTTGCTTGCTAACCATTCTCAGCCACACCTCCTTGGGAAAGAAGGAATATCTTCCTAATTTGAACTATTTGGATATAAAGGTTGGTAATTGGTAAAACCTGGAGGACTTGTAAACAGCAGGGAATGTGTTGTGAAATATATTTTCCCATCCACACCGAGAAGCAAGAAGGGCCCTTTTTTTATTTTTAAAAGAAAGCGGCCCGTCATTTATACAGGTAGCCCTCGACTTACAACCACAGTTGAGCTCAAAATTTCCATTGCTAAGGAAGAAGGTTGTTAAGTGAGCTTTGCCCCATTTTATGACCTTTCTTGCCACAGTTCTCAAGTTGAGTCACTGCAGTTGTTAAGGTAGTCACATGGTTGTTTAGTGAATCTGGCTTCCCCCTTGACTTTGCTTGTCAGAAGGTCGCAAAAGGTGATCACATGACTCTGGGATGGGGCAACCATCATAAATATTTTGATCACGTGACCACAGGGATGCTACAATGGTCATAAGTGTGAAAAATGGTCATAAGTCACCATTTTCGGTGCCACTATAACTTCAAACGCTTACTAAATGAATAAATGTAAGCCGAGGACTACCTGTACTAGGTTGGGTGGGGTAGGGAGTCTTGTATTTTAACTGGCCTGGGGTATCTGACCAGAATTCACCTTGACTTCTCCAAGGGAGAAAGGAAATTGATGCTAAATTAGAAGAGGCAGCCTGAAAATCCTTCCTGATCAGGGCAAGATCCTGGAGATGAAAGGATGGCTTTGTCTTCTCAACGTTGAAGAGATTTGGACCCCTTGGTTCTCACCAGTTCTTTCTCCAGAGAAGCAGGAAGCCTGGGAAATGTTTTGAGCTTCACAACCTTCAGGAGAAGCTGGAGAAAGTTGCTAGAGCAGACATGTCAAACACAAGGCCCAGGGGCCGGATGCGGCCCGCGAAGTGATTTCATGTGGCCCGCGAAGCCATCCTGGAAACAGGCTGGCCGGGAGCCAATGTACAATTTTGTGGTGGCCATCTATGCTGAAATGCATTCAGTCTTAGCTCCACAAGGCCGTCTGGAAACAGCGAGGAACCAGCCCCTGCCGTGTCGGCCCTGCCCCTGGGTGCATGCTGGGGAGGTGTCACCCTTTATGAGGAATGAAGGAATGCACCATCGCCTGGAAGTGGCCATCAAATGGCCCTCGCCTATACTTCACATATCCGGCTTGATGTGCTCTGCTCTTGTCCCACCCCTTTCTGCCAGAGACCCTCAGATCTGGCCCACTCCTGCCCAGGCCCCCACAGGCACCCTTGATGCGAATGATGTAGAGCTAGCCACTCCCACCCAGTAGGCCACACCCACTCCATCCATGCCCACCCAGTAGCCCCCCCCCACCCCCCCGAGGGCAACCGCAATGCTGATGCGGCCCTCAATGAAATTGAGTTTGACACCCCTGTGCTAGAGCAGTGGTTCTCAACCTTTTTAATGCTGCGACCCCAACCGGTCATAAGTCGAGGACTAAACCGGTCGTAAGTCGAGGACTAAACCGGTCGTAAGTCGAGGACTAAACCGGTCGTAAGTCGAGGACTAAACCGGTCGTAAGTCGAGGACTTTCCCTGCCCGGGAGCGCCACGCATGCGTGGTTCCGCTCCTTGCGCCGGCCGAGGCGTAGCTGGCAAGCGGCAGAGACGGAGCAGGCCGACCACCAGCTGGCCCAGCCCAAGGGAGGTAAGGCACCCGCCGGAAAAGGGGAAAAATGGCGGACAAAAAAAATGGCGGACAGCCTTGTTTGGCGACCCCCATGAAATGGTCGATCGACCCCAAATGGGGTCCCGACCCACAGGTTGAGAACCACTGTGCTAGAGGATGAAAAGATTCCTCCATAAGCAAGCGGGCAAGGTGTTTTCCATCCCCTTTTGAGCGTCATCAAAGCATTATTCTCTACACTTAAGACCAGGGTGGAAAAGGCCATTCTCCAGACACGGGTGAATGTTGTATCTTGATGACGCTCACTATTGAGGGTCTAGGGTTGCAGGTGTAGTTCAACAACAGAGTTTTCTGTTTATATCTGCATTGTTGGCAGAAATGGTACTCACCACCCCTCTCTTCCCATAGAGAGAGCATCCCTAGAAAGTTAGGACCTTTTTTTTTTAAGATTAGAAGGTCTGATGGAGAAGATGTGGCTATTCAGACTGTCTCCTAGAAGATTGTTCTGCTACAGGAAAACGGATGTAGAATTATACGTTCTGCTACAGGAAAACGGATGTAGAATTATAGGTGTAATGTTTGAAAAAGGATTGCTTCTAAATTGAGGGAAGAGAAACATGCAGTAAAACCAGTACTCAAAATTAGACCTTAGGTGAGGCTACCCTATGTGCTGGGGGTATAGCTCAGCGGTAGAGCATTTGACTGCAGATCAAGAGGTCCCTGGTTCAAGTCCGGGTGCCCCCTTATTTTTTTCCGCCCCTAAACTGAGGAGCTTGGATCCTCACTGCCCTTTCTCCAGAAAAGTGGGAGACTGGGAAATTTTTGAGCTTCATGACATTCAGAAGAAGTTGGAGAAAGTTGCTAGAAGATGAAAAAATTCCTCCATAAGCAAGTGGGGAGAGTCCTTACCAGGCTCCTCTCTAAGCATCATCAAAGAGTTATCCCCTTTCCTTAAGACCAGGCCATTTTCCATCCACTGATGAATGCCCAATCTTGATGGTGGTACCTATTACATGGTTTGGTTGCAGGTGTAGTTCAGCATCATCATCCAGGTTTTTCTGTTTCTGTTTTCTGAAGAAAGACATGGATGACAGACAGAGTTGGTGCTCACCATTCGTATCTTCCCACAGAAAGAGCATCCGTAGAAATTTAGCACCCTTTTTTTCAGACTAGAAGGTCTGGTGGAGAAAATGTTGCCATTCAGATTGTCCTCCAGATTGTTTCCCAGAATAATAGAGAAGGATCATTCTGCTCCAGGAAACTTGTTACAGAATTACAGGTGTAGCATCTGAAAAGG